CCTCGCAACACTAGCTTTGATTTACCTACTTTGTCCTAGTGCCATCATCTTTGAAGAAGTGCCATCCTTATTAGGCACAGGTGATGGAGTCAGCATATAGGCAGTAATTGCTGTCTGTGCCCAAATAATGCATCTTGGGGATTGCTCATCTGCGACCATACTCTTCACTGTGAGAACTACTAGTTAAAATAAACACCAGGTTGCCAGAGATGAGTCAAATGCTTTAAGCGAGCTGAAATAAAATAACCCTTAAGGTAACTTGTGGTTAGATGCTCAACCAGAGATACTTTTTGTATTATCGCTATCTACCTTACTGAGTTAGTGTTTGTGACTGTGCTAAATTTATTAATAATACTTGTAAAGACAGAAGAGTTCCTATAGTTGAGTGTTGCAACTGTGCACATCGAGATTCCCAACGATATCATAATTTGAATAATACTGGGTCTTGGGACAAGAACCTGTCAGTCCTCAAAGTGATCAATTCCCAGTTAAATTAAGAATTCCCAGTTAACTCGGATCTCTCGTGTTGGAGCTCAAGTGACAGCTTGGGGTTTTATTTCTTGTCAATCCAGGGTTTGCGCGAAGGAGCAATGTTACTAGTGGAAGGAGACAAAGCCACCCTGCAAGGAGTAACTGGAGCAAGGCTGTTTTTGAGGTATTCAATTTGCATTCAATTCTGTGCAGCTTTTAATCAAAGTTTGTGTTTTTCTTCAACAGCAGAAAGGATGATTGTAACTGCCCCCTTGTGGGGTGCTGCACCCATTCACACTTACTGGGCGACAGCGTGCCCTTTCAAAAATGAGTTGCAGCTGTGTGTACTGGTATATGAGCCTTACTCACATGAAGAAAAACTATGGATTGGAGTAATGGTGAAGGACTAGGCCATAAGGTTCAATACCTAATAGCAGGTAGCCCAAGAGTTCCACATAGCTTCCAGGACCCAGATCTGATAGTAAAAGGAAGCAAAATAGACTGTTCACCTTTGTACTTTGACTGCCAAGTTTACAGCATGGTTCTTGTCTTCGTTCCAGAGGTGAGAAACCAACTGAACATGAGCCTGGAACAGATTTCAGTTTCCTCCTGACCGATAGTAACTCCCAGAAGCCCTGACCTTTCCTGCAGTGAAACACCAGATCCTAAAGGAAGATAGTGAAAAGAGGAGCTCCCAGGTCTGGAAAAAGTAAATTTTGTAAATAAAGCAGGATTTAAAGAACCCATTACTCACCATTTTTATTTCTGTAGGAACTGACTAATCTCAAACATTTCCTTGCAGCACTAGGGGAGAATACCCTCCTGAGGCTAGTTTATACAGGTTGAATCTCTGTAGTCCGGCACCCTCGGGACCTGACCAGTGCCGAACCAGAGAATTTGCCAACCCACAGGAGGTCAATGCAGAGTGCCAGCAGGTCTCCATGGGCATGGGAAGTAGGGGTGCGCTCAGCCGGCCGCTCCAATGCCGGCCGCAGGTCCCAGCTGCTGGCCCCAGGTCCTCCCCCTCCCTCCCAGAGCTTGAACGCCACGAATCAGCTGTTCTCGGCGCTTTGCAAGCACTGGGGGGGGAGGAGGAGGAGTTGGTAAGTGTGGGGCCGCCGGCGTGCAAGAGGAAGGGGCAGAGGGGGGAGCTTGGCACCTGTGGATGTTCCGCACCCACTGATTTTTCCCTGTGGGTGCTCCAGCCGTGGAGCACCCACGGAGTCAGCGCCTATGCCGGACCACGGATGTTGACGGACCAGGGAGTGCCGGATTAGAGAGGTCCAACCTGTAGTACGGATTTAGTAGTTTGTGTAGTGGGGGCATGAGAGAAAGCAGCTCCCTCTTCTCCGCTTAGCTGCTGAAATAAGGATTTGCCATGGAAGGGAATCTGAAGATTTTATGGTTCTCCAGCCTTTCCTGACAGCACCTTACCTGGAAGCAGAAAGACTCCCCTAATTCACTTGCTTGCTGAAGGGAGATCTATTCCTTCCCCACTAAAGGCAACGGGAATACTTCCCCCCAAAAAAGTTTCTTGATGTTAGCAGATTAGGAGGCCAGGTCACATTGGTTCATGCTGCCTAGCCTAGGTCCCCCCCCCCCACTTGTTATTCCCCCTCCAGAGCCTATTATTTATTACCTGTCTTAATAAAACGTGCAACAGACTAGTAATAGTTCCTGTCTTAAACACACCAACCCTCTTGGTATAGTTATAAATACCTGGACCACACCATGAAAAAAGCACAGAGAAATCACACATCTGATTATTATTTATTTTCTCCAGCCCCAGCTGTTATATACAAAGCTAATTTAATAATCATTATGTACAAAATAAGTGTGCATTTAAAAATTTAGATTACAAATTTGCAAATACTAGAAAAAGTGCAAAATTTTAAAACATCTTCCATCATGCTGTACAGAAACAAATCCAACATTAGCCAATATACACACTTAAAATTATTAAAACTTAGCCATTGGAACATAATACATATTAAAATAAGACAAACAGTATATACGAAACCTTAAAAGCACCCAGAAGGGATGAAGGTATTGCACAGAAGACTAACAGCAAATTCATTACACTGCTAGAAGGCTATTAGTGTTGAATATATCTAGTTTCAACTAACTAAAATTTGACTTTATTTAAAGGCATTTTTGGCATTAAATCCATTCGTAATCATATAATTGCACAATCATAATTACTAGAATTAAGAGATGGTTAATTGTCACACTATAAATAAGGCTTAGTGTTCTGTTTCCACCAAAAGTTATAGCGATTTAAGCAAATGCTGAGGCACATCTTAGTGAGTCTCATTTTCCACTCTAAAAACTCCTTAAGAAAACTTTGTTTTAAGTAGCAGCACTATCTCCAAGAAATTGATCAGAGAGGGTGGCTCTTTACAGACAGCCTGGCCCTAACCCTTCACTGAGCAATGCCTGGACTGCTCCTGCAGAGCTCATTACAGGAGCAGAACACAAGGCAAACTTTCACTACTTGAGTCCTTGCAATTACTTTCTTTAAGTTAGGATACCACGGAACACAGCTCTCATTTGTTAATGACTAAAGAAAATACTCCTAGTTAGATGCACATGGGATTCCTGGTTTTAAGGGTTTGTTTCTAGGGAAATTATGGTTTCAGTTTAGGAATAAAAATTCATTATTGGTATTTGAAAATTTTGCTTGTTATATTAAAAAATTGGCCTCTGCCACTCCCTCCCCAATGGCAAATTTTATTGGATATTTAATCTCACACTCTTGCTTGGGTGAGGTTATAGTTTAAAACTGGAAACCCTGTATCTATCCTCGCCACATGGTTTGGAACTATGATTGGAACAGGAGACCCTCCCTGCCCAGCATTTTGGAAGGATGGCTAGAAATAGCGTACAGTAGATTAGACATGAGTTTGCAGTGTCAGAAAGAGCCAGTAGGATTTCTATACACTAGTAGCAAGACCCCATAGAGCATTCAGATCTGAGCACCAGAAATGTTTAAGAATCCAGATGGGAGCAACACATGAATGGAGCTAGAGGAACTGGGTTCTGAGGAAAGATTGAAATAACTATACATGCACAGTTTGGCAATTAAATATAGTATGTGAAAGACTTAGGTATCAAACAGAAAGAAAACATCCCCAGTGTTCCAAGGGGATACAGCTCAGTGTGGAAGATGAAATTGAACAAAGGAAAGTCTAGATTAAATATCAGCACTAATTCCTCAAGCATCAGGTTTATTAGACTGTAGAACTATTTTCCAAGAGTAGAAATGGAAACCCTAGCACCTGACACATTTAAGCTACACCAAGCACTCTACATTTAGTGTAAGGAACAATTCTGGACTGTCACCTTGGGATGGACAAAATAGACCTTTTAGGTTATCTTGCTTTCGTGTACTCAGTCCCGAGGTCAGTGATGCTAAAGTGCTTAGGCTCCAACGGAAGGGGTCAACCCTATTGTACTATCTGTACAGCTCCTGCTACCTAGTTTGAATCGCAGTAGCCTGGCAGGGGACTGCAGACCTTTGGAAGAGTGGGCTAACAAGGGTTATTAGAAGAGGTGAGGAATATAGAGTGAAACTGGGTTCCTCAGAATGCATGGACTCACCCACTGAACTCCCCGCCTGTATTGCCTCAGATGTGGGCGTCCAGAGAGGCAACGTACAGATGGGTATTGGAAAACTCTACCACCAAAACAAGGAAGGAAGTTCACTTTGTAACACTGTATGCAACTCTTGAGATTCAGCAGAAGAAATGATTTTAAAACTACATCTATAAATCATTACAATCTGTCATGGGAGCACTTGATTAAGTATCTTCCTTGTATAATTATTTGTTACATAGCCACACATGACTGCACTTCTACAAAGAATGACAGACTCAATAAAATGGATTAAAAATAGCCCAGTTTGTACCATTACTGCATAGCAGTATCGTGAAGTGTAAATGATCTAAGAACAACCTCTTTTAAAAACTTCTTAACCCTCTTAATACTTAGCTTGTGTAGAACTATTGACATTTCAGTGTATAGTTAGTACATTCTGTTAATCAAATCTGAGATTAGAGATTTGTTCAAGATTCCTGATTTGTAGAATTTAATCTGATGTTTACAGAACTATGTGCCCAATCCTCTGAACACTAACAGATGTAGTGCTCACAACTGCAAGTCACTCCTTTGCTGTCATAGTAGTAAGCTCAATGAGCTGGTTCAAGCAAGCATTCCCCTCCAGGACAACACTTGAGTGCTTTCCAGAATTAGGGCCTTCAGCTGGTTCACAGGATCAGGCCTAACAGTATATTTAATAAAGAGTCTTAGCATTTCCTCCAAATAAAAGATCAGATTTTTAATATAGCCCTTGAAAAGAAAAAAATGTAACCTAGTTTCAAACTCTCTACAGTACTGCAGGCCATACACAAACATACTTCTTCAACTAAGTAACCTACAAGATGAAATCTTTTTCTAGTGGATGATAGCTATATATGAACTCTCAAATAAGAACATTTAAAGATAATGGGTAGCCTAAGAGAGTTAGAGCCTAAGGGAGTTAGATGGCCAACACCCACTGAATTCCATTAAGACACAACCAGAGTAATGGGAGATCACTCACTGGCTATCCCGTCCTAGATGGTGGGATTTTATTTTTTTAAATGGGGCGGAATATTATTGTTTTAATCCTCTGCATTGCAGGAGAACTCTGTTTTTAAGACATTAAAGAGACTCCTTATCAAAACAATCAATTCAATAGGCTACTTAAAAGTCCATATGCCATTTAAATTTAAAAATGTATAATACTATTTGTAGTTAAAGCAGGTATTGAAGAAAAGCTTTGCTTAGATGAATTATCTAGATTAATCAAAGATCATACTGGGTGCTTTCTGAATTAAGACCCCGCCCTTCCACAAATATTTTAAATAAGAGGAAAAAGATGGTTTAAACAGGGGTTTTTTTTGTGTGTGCTGGTGGTGGGAAGATAGGTGGATGATGGAAAAGATAAAGTTTCAAAGATTGCACAAGGTGAGTATGATACACAGAAAATAAATACGCTGATGCAATATTACCCACGTGTTTTGTTTTGTTTTACCTTAACTTGGACAATGAGTGTATAACTCTTTGAATGCTGGCATTTCCCAAATGAACACTTAGTATGATATTAGATAACATTCTCCACAGTACATAAAAATAAGACAACCAAAAAGAATTACCACCACTGAGGCTTGCAACATAAATTGATAACATTGATAATCTAACACAAATTTTATTGGAAACAAAATTATTCTAAGCACTTCCCCAGACTGTAAGTGAAAGTTACTGAATACTGCTAACTGGTGAATCCAGTTTATAAATTACTAGGCGGAAATGAGTCAATATTCAGCGCTTTTTTTTTTAAATACATATGTTTACAGTGCTGACTTAGCTTTTCTTTTAAGTCCACCTCACAGGTAAGCAATATTTTTTAGTTTCCATAGATATCACTGTGGCCTCCAATGGTTAAACAAAAGACAAGAACACCTAACAAAAGGGACTTAAAAATTCTTAGTGTTATAAAGCAACTGTGTATTCAGACTAGCCTGATCTGAATTCATAGTCAGAACTGCGTCATGTCACAGCTTTACTTTCTAAAACAAAGTTAAATAAATAAATCTTAGTGTAAAAAGACTAAAGAGAACTTGTATTTTGATAACTATTTTCACTCTACGAGAAGAGCAGAGGGGATGGTATCCAAGAGCACTATTAGCTTGAAGAGTCATCAAAAGTAAAAATTTAAATCTTAGAAGAAGTGCAGTGCACTAATTCAGTGTCCACTGCTCAATGTGGACTGCAAACCAGCCACAACTCATACAACCACAAAAAAATTGTATAATTAATTCAAGAAAAAAATGAAAGAAAATAAGTTAAACAAAAACAAGTGGAACACCAGGTAAATTCTTCCTTACTTATAGCTCTCACATACAAACCGCATCTTTTATTTACAGCTTCCTTTTACAGATTAAGCAAAGTATAGTGCTGCTTGCAGACAGACACTGTTGAGTAGTTGAGAAAACTGACTGCTGCTGGTGCATGAAAAGATGACAAATTGGAATTTAAGTAGCACCTTTCATTCTCAAGGGATCAGATGCTCAGCTATGGCCAATCTGCACAAAATGCAAGTAGTGTGTAAATGTGATTTAACACTCACCTTTGTACTCCCATGATCCTGTTGCAGGTTTGGGCAGGGTTGGTCCCTTAGCGCCAAGACAGAGCATTATGAGGGCAGCTCTAATTTATACCAGTAGCTAACATTCGTGAGGCTTAACTAATGCTTGTAAAGCACCGAAATCTTGGATTAAAGTGTTATATATTCAGATTATCATTATTATAATACAAATGCCCGCATCTCTCCAATTTCTAAACCTACATTACATTTTGTGGAGGTTGACCAATTTCCCTGATTTTCTTACATGGATACAAATGCTAAAATGTTCACGAGTTCAAAAATTAAAACTTTTGCATAAAATACCTAATACGAATAAAGATGCTTTCAAAAACTCACATGTGAACCTCTCTGCACAAATGACAACAGAAAGACTTGTGTTCTGGCCAAGCATTACACAGAACATTAACTTTCTAAATTTCTCCACTTTGATTCTGCTAGTCAAACAGTCTCATAGTTTTAAAAAAATCCAAATATACACATTTAAGATCTTAAATGTACAGTTATAAAACCATCACCACAGTATCCCCAAGCAAATTCATTTGAAAATTCAATATAATCCCACTTAACTATAATAAAATCACACATTCAAAACTGTGATTCTTCTAAACTTCTGTCTCAATAACTCTTCAAAATCTCTTACTTTTGAAATTACAATAGACAAACCTACTTCACATTCACATACACTTGATACTTCCAGAGTATCCTTGGTATTGTTATTGTATCAGTAACTAGTTAATATATTTTTTTTCATGTAGACTTTCTTCCCATGTCCATAACCCATTGCAAAGTGGGGAGGCGAAGGGGAGAGGGAGTGAGTGACAGAGAGAAATGGGGTTAAATACCATACTGACAAGTGCCACAGAGAAATGTTTCCATTTCCGCATAATTTTCAGATGATTTGATCTGTCACAGTGATTAGTTAGTGTTATAGTTATACATAATCTCGTCTAATTTGTTCACTGATCAGATATAACTTGATGTAATAATTGATATAATTTGAAAGTAACGGTTAAAACAAGCAACACAATTCTTTTTAGATTAGTAAGTAATAAGGACATTACAAATATTCAGTGTATAAAAGCATGATATAGGGTCATTATTTTCTTTATGAAATTAAGACTGGGATGTTGGTTTAAGAAAAAATGTGTCTTGGAAAGAGTGATTACTACTTCTTTAGACTATCAAGAAATATTGCACTACAGTGAATGAAATTAGATTATACTGTATGGGGTGCCTCGGTAGTTCAACAACTCTCCAGTGCTAGGGGAAATCAGGCAATATTTAGAAAAGATACAACACATCCTCACCTCCATAAGTAATAAAATAAGGAAGAAGAAGGGAGAGGTGTCTGAGAAATATTAACTAAATCAATTCTGTATCTGCACTGGCTACAGGGACATCTTGTTTTCAATTATTACCACTTCCACAAAAGATGTAAGGGAACAATATTTTCGTCTATTTACATACAGTCATATTCCCACCTAAAAAATTTTACTCTTTGCCCTGAAGGTAAGGTTTTCCCAAGAGTACTTGAGCTTTTGAGTACTATTTTTGTTGTTTACAGTATATGCAGGGCTGTGATGTCTTCCTCTCCTACATATGCATATAGTATCTGGATTTTTCTACTTACTTTTCCAGCAATATGAATATGGCTAAACCAGGTTACTTGTCTGACAAATACAGAGCCAAGAAACAAGGTATGGTAAATGTAAAATTATGATGCAAAGTTTTTCAGGTGATCTTAATGTTGAAATTAGACATTTTGGTTTGTAGTAATTATGCTATTAATGAAGAACAACTCAATCTTGACAGACATGGAAATGTGATTCTCATTCCCTCTGTATTAATACGAGACCTTAAAACATGCAAGGGATTTCTAAATGTGTGTGTTGCTTTGCCAAACAACATAAAGAATGTTCTGCAGCAAATATTCACTCTACCCAATTCCTACAAGGTTATAATTCATTGTTGTATGTCAGTTAAACAATTTCTGACAATCAAGTAGTGCCATTGAGGTGCTCCCTGCAGAACAGTCTAAAAGGGATTCTCTCAGGAGCCACGCAATAGAGAATTATTAATAATCATTTACAGTAGTACACAGCAAGCTGATTGGTCTGAAGAATATATTTGAAGTCATAACTCTCAACTGTCCCAATTTTATCAGTATATCTGCAACTGAAGGAATTTTAAGTTTATGATCCTGGAATTACAAAGATGTAAGATGAGAATGGGATATTTTCCTTGAATTTGAGTTAATATCTTCCAAGCAAGAGAGGAACATCTAGCATTATTCACTTGTATATATCATTTGTGTTTTAATGCACTTGGAGGTCTTTTTTTGAAACTCAGTTCCAGCACATAATCTAGAAAGAGTTCTACTGCTACCAAATCAATGTGATTAGGAAAAAAGTAATAAAAGCAATTGTGGGCTAATTTGCATGTGTGCATATGTAAATTACTGTACCTCTACCATATGTTGGTCTTCAACTGACTGTCAAGGATAAGTCCCTGAAACACTCATCAGAAAGTTGAGAGATATGTTTAGAATGACCAAAAGACTAAACAAATTTCTGGAATCCATGAGAGAATTCAGGAGCAGCAATCACTTGGAATCTTGAGTGTTATATTCAGTCTCTCCCGATGAAATCTGGCTGAGCCGTTTGCTTGATCCCCACAGTTTTCGGGAAAGCTGACCTGAGCGCATCTGTTTAAAGTAATCCAGAGAAACAAAAGGAGGGGGAAGGGATAAGGTGGATAAATTAAAAAAGGAACTTCAGACGCTGATTCTGGAGAAGTGCAGACAACACAAGGTACTGCACAAACACAAAATTATACCAACAGAAATTATTTCAGACAAACAAACAAAAAAGGTAACATTTTGGGATGATTCTTCGATTGGCACAAAAGAACAAAAAGACAAATGTTGATTATCTTTTCCATTTTTGAACAGTTAGAGGGACACTGTCAGGCAAGATAGGTTTAATACTTTACCTACTTTAAAATTGTTCTTATTTTGTGGGGAGTGGGTTCTGGATTCTAAATTGCTATTTTGTTAAAAAGAAAAAATGATTGCCAAGTGGAAATGAACAAAATTAGTAGGAAGAGCATTTTATATTAAGAGGGAAGTACTAGAAATGAAGAGTAAAAGATAATTAAAAAGACTACTTGACAATGTCCTGTAAGTGATGGACTATTGCAGGTCAGCGATGGCAAAATGGGAGAAAGAGATAGAGAAGAGTTCTCATGATGCCAAATTTCTAGACTTCCACTGGTCCTGGGTGAAGTGTTCAGTGCAAGAATTATTAAACAAATGTAATCTACAGTGAATATTCCATAAGTAAAGACAAGTAATAAGCTGTTCACAGTGACAAGTAACCAAAGGCAATGTTAAATCATGGATTTAGTGAATTTGTATCATATCTGAATACCTGACAGTATTCTGTCAGAAACTGTTTTAATTAACTTCATAACTACCAGACCTGGGATTGACCAGTGGTGATCCTATTCTGGCAATAGACCAGAATATGAAATCCCTTATGGTTAAAGAAAATCATCCTTTAATGGCACAAAGTTCAGAAAAAGTTTCTCGTCATAAGTCTGGCACTTTGTAACTATATATTGAGCAGCTAAACAGAATCCAGCAAGTCATCAGTGGTGTCAGCTCAAACAGGGAACGATCCTGCAGACTTCTGCAGTGTTCTAAGCAACTATATGGTTTTCTAAACCAGAACACAAATTCATTATTCTCCATCTCTGATTGTACTGTCAAAGCATAAAGGCAAAAGGTCAACCTTAGTCTCAACAGCACTTTACTATTATGTTTAATAAAATATTTAGAAAGAACCTCCTTTTGTTCTAAGGCTAAATATAGCATCACCACTGAAGCCCAACTCGTAACAGAGATTACCTTCTGTAGGAGGAATTTGAAAGTCCTTAATTTCTTATCTCCATATTTTACTTGTCAAACAAAAAAGTTAATACCTTTTAAACACAATAAAATGATTTTTACAAATCAGAGGAAACAGGAAAATATGGGATAAATGTTGTCCCTACCATTATTGTTTTTTAATCGGTTTATACAGATATTAATCCTCCAAATGCTCTGAATTATAAACTGAACACACTGATAAAGCTTGTGGAAAAACCTGCATATCCTTAGGAGGAATCCAACCCTAGGAATGTAGCATAGTGGGGAAGTCAGATTTCTTTGTTCTTAATTAAATTTACTTTAAATCTCAAATAATGAATGACAAATTCCAGCCTAGCAGAGTTTTTCTAAGACTGGAAAATCTTTATAAAACACTGGTGATTTTTAAAAAGCTATCACAAGAGTCTCTTTTATCTACAACACAAGAAGCTATCCATTAATTCTAGAATAGAAAAAGTTGTTTAATTTGAAATGGATGGAAGTTTTGCCACTGATTTCCATAGAAGCAGGATCAGGCTCTCATTCTGCGAAGATCCTAAGCAGGATATATTTCAGTAAACTATGTTCCCTTAACTAGAAAAATGTCAGACACTTAGAACTAAGATGCCAGTATGTTTTCAAAATTAATAAAATATACATTACTTTAATACATACTTTTCTAGCAAATACTGAAGGTCAAGCAGACCTCAATTTAAAGTCACCCTTCTGGCTGTAATAGTTAATAGTAGGAACTTTCAACTTAAAATATACTGTAGCACTCCAGAGATTCAGAAAGCCTAACCCTGCCTCTCTTCATAATATTGGTGAAATACTTTGACAGAGGTGTTACAAGTAGTTACTGTGAAACCCCTGTTTTGAACATGACAAAGTGGGTATTGCTATTTTACATAGGGATGCTCTGTAACTGATAGTGCATATGCAGTACCTACAAATTTACATCCACCGTAAGGAGCACAGAGTAGGCTACACAGGGTATCTTTGTGCAGTTACAATGAGAGATTCTGAATGGTGAGAAATACGGATTTTTTCAAAAAGGGAGGCAACATATAGTAAAGGGTGTCTGACAAAAGCCAAAATTTAAAAGAGAGTAGCTCATTCTTTTTTGTTTCCAATTTTCTTCTGGGAAGTTACTTCATCATTTATAACGAAGGTATCACATTCTATTCAGAACTTGTTTCTGAGAAGTGACAGACAACACTAGCACATTCAGAAAATGTTAGTTACTCTGACCTCTTGCTTATTCGACTATGACAAAGTCTGCAGGTTAGTCCAACTGAGTCTTTTTCCCATCTGCGTCCCCTATATGCTCGTTTCTTATAGAGAAATCTCTATGCATAGAGCCGTCTCAAAAATTATTTCTTCCCCACTGAAAACTCAAACTTGCTCTTAAGTTTGCCCTGCCATAGAGGAGACCTCTTGCTCAACTGGAAAGCAGAAATAAGTGAATTTCCCACTGTTCGGTAGACAAAGTTCTTGATGGTGGGTTTTACCTCAGCTGGCTTGCCAACACCAACGACAATCAACTTGCCATCCTCCAAGCCTACAAGGATGTGGCTGTATTCTTTGGTAACAGAAATGCAGCGAATCGGCAGTCGCATGGCTAAGGGGGAGATGCTGAGATTCAGGCTGAAATAAGCAAAACCATACAAAAAATACATTAAATATTTAAGTGCTATACATTATACATAATGGATAGAGCCATACTACACCTGAACTCACTGAGAGTGAACTCAGATGCATTATAAAATAGGGTTTCACTGTAAGTCCCAATCTGTTTCAATACACTATAATTCAAGTTATAGTGAACTTCTACATAGAGCAGGGGTGAGCAAACTTTGCCCCAAGGGCCACATCTGGGTATAGAAACTGTATGGCGGGCCATGAATGCTCACAAAATTGGGGTTGGGATGCAGGAGGAGGTGAGGGCTCTGGTTGTGGGTGTGGACTCCGGGGTCGGGCCAGAAATTAGGAGTTCAGGGTGCAGGAGGGGGCTCTGGGCTGGGGAAGTGAGGTGTGGGGGGCGGGTGAGGGCTCCAGCTGGGGATGCGGGCTCTGGGGTGGGGCTGGGGATGAGGGGTTTGAGATGTAGGAGGATGCTCCGGGCTGGGACCAAGGGATTCAGAGAGCAGGAGGGGGAATCAGGGCTGGGGCAGGGGGTTGGGGTGTGCATGGGGGGGGTGGCTCAGGGGTGCAGGCTCTGGGCGGCGCTTACCTCAAGCGGCTCCCGGAAGCAGCAGCATGTCCCCCACTCCGGCTCCTATGTGGAGGCACAGGCAGGCGGCTCTGCTGCGCGCTGCCCCGTCTGCAGGCGCCGCCCCTGCAACTCCCATTGGCTGCCCCTAAGCATAGGAGCTGTAGGAGAGACATGCCGCTGCTTCCAGGAGCCATGCGGAGTGGCCCCCCGACCCTGCTCCCCAGCTGGAGCCCGGAGCAGGGCAAGCCTCAGACCCTGCTCCCCAGCGGGAGCTCAAGGGCTGGATTAAAACAGCTGGCGGGCCGGATCCATCCCGTGGCCCGTAGTTTGCCCACCCCTGACATAGAGGGTCAAATCCCATCACCAGGCTATAGCCTTAGTAACAGGGTTGTGCACTGGGGACAGAATCAGTAAAAAAAGAAATCCTCTCTGCAGAGTGACAGGAGAGCAGACTTAGTGCTGCAGTTACCCCTGGAGCAGGTATGTTTCCTCCTTCTGGGGGCAAAGGCCAATGAATCTGCACAGCGGAAAGAAGAGGGGATTTTAAACTGAAGTTACAGCTGCTCACCATGGGCTTGATTCTGCCAGGAGCTGAGCCCACAGCTCCCACTGACTTTGATCGGAGTCACAGATACTCAGTATTTTGCTGGATCAAGCCCCAAGTCTGCATCCAACTCTGTCCCTTCCCAGATATTGAGGAGGACATTCCCAGTATTGGGATAAGGGCTGGGTCAGTGCAGTCATGCACCAGAAGTGGCATTCCCAGCTGACAAATAGGTCTTTCCTGCCCTTCAGAAAATCCAAATAGGAGCATAAGGGACCCGGTTGTAATTTTGGATTTCCTTTGCAAATTGATTTTCCAGTATCAGGGGACAGGGCAATGAGAGAATAGCCATCTATGACCTCTTTTGAAAAAGAATGACAAGTCACACCCTTCATGATCTCCACATGATACACCAATACCTATATGTAAATAAACCACCATGCTGGTGCAGTACATCTTATCTGCAGTGATAATCTACTGATGCTGGTCTGTTACCTATAGAGATCTCGTATGGAAAGGAATCCTTGTAAGCTCCCCATCACGATATATTCCCCAGTCACACACATGTCTGACACTTCCTCCTTTAGACTCTCAGAGCCCAAATACTTCCCGTTCACAGAATAGAGATGTAATGCATTCTTATCCTGAAGAGATTAAAAAGAAATTACTCATGGAGGATTGAACGGATTAAGGATTTATTACTTATACATTCAGCTTGTTAATAGGAATTTAGCCAAGGTTGGTAGTAACTAAAGCTGTTAGTATCTGATGGCAGCTTGTAGAATTAAATACAGGTTGAATCTCTCAAATCTGGCACTCCCTGGTCCGGCAACATCCAGGGTCCAGCATAGGCACTGAATCCATGGGTGCTCCGGGGCTGGAGCACCCACAGGGAAAAATTAGTGGGTGCAGAGCATCCACTGGCGCCAAGTTCCCCCCTCCCCCTGCACCTCTTGTGCACCGGCCCTGCGCTTACCAACTCCTCCCCCTCCCTCCCAGTGCTTCCGGAGCACTGCGAACAGCTGATTAGTAGTGTTCAAGCTCTGGGGCCGGTGGCTGGGACCCTGGAAGAGGGGCTGGCAGCTGAGGCCGGCATTGGAGCCCCCGGGCGGGAGGCCGGCGGCTGGGACCCCAGGTGGCAGCGGGGCCCCCACTGGGTGTGTTGCAGCACCCTCTGCACCCCCACTTCCCACGCCTATGGAGACCCGCTGGCACTCTTCATTGACCTCCTGTGGTTTGGCAAATTCTCTGGTTCGGCACCGGTGAGGTCCCGAGGGTGCTGGACTAGAGAGGTTCAACCTGTATTTATTTATATTTTTACCGCACTACAATCTGATCTACGGGCATGCTTGACAAACTTAAAAATACATTCATACTTAAACAGCCTCTGGCACTCACCCACAGGTAGCACGACCCCAGCAGCAACACGAATACAACAAAAAATTAATAAGCCCCACCAAACAAACCAGAGTCCCCCTTCCCAGCCTCACCCACCCTCTCAAATCCTACAGGGCAAGGAGAAAAGCTGGGGCTTGCAGCATGTCCTGAAAGTTAACAAACACAGACTGTTAACATTAGGTACAAGCCTCTTTCCAATTCTTGGCGCAATTACACAAGCCTTCATCAAAAGAGACATCCCTACACTGAATAGGCAGCGAGAATGAATTACACCATGAACCCTAAAGGTTGTCCCGCTAGGTCAGGCTGTCCCTCTCAATGTTTGAGAAACATTGGTGCATCTGTGGGGCAGCTTGCACACAGAATTTCCTAAGAAACTAGCTCTACAAAAAAACCCAGGTACATTTATGTTTAATGTTTACAGCAAAACACACACCAGCATTCTATGACCTTGGGTTGAAACTTGTGAAGTACCTTGAGAGTAGTCTTTCCTTCTATACTGGTGTGGACAACGATGTGTCCTTCCCAGGATACAGCCAGGTTGGGAACAGTCAGCAGAAGGGAACTCTCACAAGGTGGTCGCAAAGTCCTCATGTACTGACCTTTCCGAATAGTATGAATAATCACAGTGCTATCCTGTTAAGACAAAAAACTCAATGCTATTTCTTTACGGTAATATTCACATAAGGTAATTATTTGGAGCAGGGGAAAATAACATTTTAAAAGATCTTAAGGTGCAGTAGTAGTTCTTGAAGAAGGAATTACAGGTACCAGACAGAATCAGGGCCCCACTGTGCTAGGCACCTTACACAGATAGTGAAAAAAAACAGAGTCCTTCCCCTTAAGAGTTACAATCTTAGCATATGAGGAGACAACAGGTGGAGAAAAACAAACAAATGCGGGTGGGGGAGGAGGAAAAGGTAGCAGTGAAACAAATCGTATTTCACACAGAAAGGAGCAGTCACAGGACACCCCTGCGTAGCTGTTATCAAGTGTCTTGGAGGCATCATGGCAGAGCAGCGAATTTGAAGGAAGACCAAAGAGTGGCTTTGCAGATCTTTTATGGGGAGCCTCCTCCCATGCCTGAGGGGTGGAATGGGACGAAATGCGAAGGTGCTTGAGGTAGAATTGGGCTATTTAGTGATGAAAGTGGGCCATCATAGGAGTGGAAACAGAGGTCAACAGCTTGATAGAGCTGGTAGGTAGGGTGTGGCTAAGCTGTGGAGAGCCTCAGAGGTAAAGACAAGTAGTTTGTGTTTGCTGAGGCACAAAAGGAGTTCTGTAGCATGAGTATTCCTACAGGAAACTGGATTTCTTCAGATGGTTATACACACTTCAGACATTCACCTGTGCAAAAGAGCTGTGGCCTACTCTGTGAGAGCAGTATGAGAGTAAGTGAATTATGCAGTGTGTGTGTTGACATGGTGCAAGACTTGCTCCTTACCCAAAAGGGAAAAGAAGAAACAAGGAAACAGTAATGTTTTTTCCAGCTACACTAATCCTAGTAGTAAATATCACTCCTTTGAAGGAAAATCATGAAGATGCTTACCCTGGCTCCAGATACCACCATGTCCAGTTCAGTGCTGATGCTAACACTGGATACCTCATCAGTATGTCCATACAGAATCTGCAAGGGTTTAGGTGCCAGGCCTACAGGAACTCCTCCCTGATATCAACATAAAATGATACATTTATAGATTTTCTCACAGTTGAAGAACACATACAGGATATCTTTAACATCATATGCACTGGGTGTACTGGATGTAGGCCAGCCATCACACTTTACTTCTATTGTTGCTCACATTTAGAGCCACCTAAGTCAGCATCCCTTTTTGTGACTCAGTTTATTAAATCACAAGGATGAATTAAATTCCTTTGATATTTGTGTTCACTGTCTTCTTCAGAATGTAATTAAAGAGAGTGAAGACTATTTTGCATAAAAATTATATCAATTTTGTCTCATATCCTGAGGCAATATAGAGAAACAGCCAATCTGATTCTGCTTTGTGAGAGATATAATGGATCTCTTACAATATTTTTCACAAAACAACTTCTTGTAAGGGTACAGCTTTCATTAAGGGAACTTCACCACTCCAAAACAATTTGGTACTTCCATTTCACTTTTAACATAATGTAACTATATTCAAAATCACTTTAAGTGGGGTCTGTTGTTGGCACGCACAGTGTCTAAAGAGATGGGTATGAAAACAATTTCTCTTCTGCCTTACAGTATGGAGAAATGAATGCCAACCAAAACTTTGAAAATATGAGGCACATGTGACAGTGCTAAGCAGCAAGAAAATATATCAGAACACACGACTGGATGAGGATCCAGAAAAGAATTTGGCAATGCAGAGCAACGGAGTGATCAAGTAGCAATAGGCAGGACATTTGTCCCACTGCTTTCATATTGGTGGGGACAAAAACTCTTGGCAGCGTAGAGGGGTGCTAGCAGATGCATGCAATGGGACACACCATGGCAACAGGGACATGGGTTCAGGGAAAAGCAGCATGATCAGTTCAGAATCCAGTGAGTGCTAATACTGAAATACACAGCAAGTGCAAGATTTATTGATCTGTCTGCCATGGGTATTTATAGAGCACGAATCCCCATAATATCTAGGCACTGAACACACACTGGGAACGGGTCATATTGCACCAGTACAGCAACTGAGAAAGTGAGTGTGAGCTTATGGTTGTAAGCCACCTTTGCATTGCCCTAGTCGTGGGGCCATTAAGCTTTGGTTCAGTCCCCAATTCCCAATTAAATGTCTATGGCCCTCATGGCGGCAGGGATCTGGCGGAGATTGCAGCTTCTTGGCCACACCCTATTTTCCTGACAATGACCCCTACATGCTCCCTACACTGGACACTACGAGGAAGGGAGTCAATTACACGGGCCTTAAACCACCCCCAGATTCCCCCAAACAAAAAGTGGCTTAACTGGTTTCTGGGGATTCCTTTGAATGCTGCTTTGCACTGTTGGGGTAGGGCAAAAGAAGCAGTCTTAGCAGGGGCCTTAGTCTGACCAAGTAAAATAAATAAGTAGAGCTCGTCAGGACTTTCCCACTGGAATGATTTTCCGATGGAAAATGCAGTTTCTGCAAAACCAAAGTTTTCCACAAGAAAATTTTGATTTTGCCCAACATTTCAATTTTCCATAAGGAAAACCTAAATGAAATATTTCATTTCAGGTCAGTTCAACTTAGATTGGAATATTCTGATTTTCTTAATTGACCAGAAACAATTAGTTTTGAGTCAGTTCAACAAAACCTTGAACTGCATTTCCCTATCAGCACATTGTCTAATGGGAGTTGTAGTTCAGGCCCCCGATTGTCTCCTATGGCTGGGCTCCCTGGAGGACTCCATCTCCCACAATGAAATGCAGATTTCTCTGCCTGAGCTGCATGGTGAATCATGGGAGTTACATGATTACATGCATTACGGGAGATGTAATCCACCCAAGGATCATGACCCGTATGGAAGAATGCGTGCATCTGTCTCCTATCAGGTAATGCATCACTATGGGAATTCACTTCAATCAATAATGTCAAAATCTTGACACACTAATAAATTTTTTTCATAATTTCTGTACTGACAAAATTTCAAAATTTAAACTTTTAGTCCCAATTTGGCACAAACAAATGCTAAAATGTCAGAATTTCTTGTGAAATGGAAATTCCAAATTTCAGTTAGCTCTAGGCATATGGATTCAACAAGAGAGAGTTCTACCCTCAACTTTCTGAGGTTGGCTCCATTTGCGTCAACTACTTTCTTTCTGAAAGCAGCTGTAAAATGTTCTCAGTGTATAACCTGTCAAACATGTGGTATCCTGCTAAGTGACAGCAGGATTTCTTGTTCACTGCATACATCTGTCAGAGTATCTGTTTACGTGCCAATGTGCTGACATTACAGTGTGCTAGCTGGATTTAGCTCTAAATGACTCTTATACAAGATACAAGAAGATAAAATCAGGCATATTGTCCGGAAGACACAGCAGGAGCTGTAGCTTGTAACACTTCCATTTTCCCTAATAGCCTTAATAAATGCAACTTGCATGTTGAGGTCTGCAAAGAACATCTGGTAAACCAAGATAATCAAGGGGTATCGCAGGGCTGGGCTAAGTTTGATTAACTCAGAAAACTGGTAGCCTGCTGGTACATCAGCATAAGGACAATGATGCCAAAAGTCACTACTACCAAGTTACTTTGTTTGTGTATGCAGTCCACTTTCCTTCTTCCCTCTCTTGCTTTCATGTATAGGAATTACCAGGCTTTCAAAAGTGTAAACCAGGATGTTTTCCTAGTTGAAAAGTTGCCTTTTATAAAGAAGAATGAAAACTTATGCTAAAATTATCTTTCCACTATCACCACCTTGGGGTCTTCTTTTATTTAGATCCTGCCATTTTGTGCTATGTTTAACATTGGTAAAGGCAACCTCACATTTTAGGGGCTTAAATTAGCACGCTAAAAATCATATCTAGTTTCCATTTGTGAAATCACAAGTTTTGGTTTGTTTACCTGCCGTGTCCGCAGGTTCGGCCGATCGTTCACCGCTCCAAGCCAATGGGGGCTGCGGGAAGCGGCACGGGTTGAGGGATGTGCTGGCTGCCACTTCCCGCAGCCCCCTTTGGCCTGGAACGGCAAACCGCGGTCAGTGGAGCCGCGATCGGCCGAACTTGTGGACGCGGCAGGTAAACAAACTGGTGCCAAAGGTTGCCGATCCCTGGTGTAGATGTTCGGGCTTGGTCTGGAGCCCAGGCTCTGGGACCCCTCGAGGGGGGAGGGTCGAAGAGCCCAGGCTCCAGCCTGAGCTGGAACTCCTACACCGCAATTAAACAGCCCCGTAGCCTGAGCCCAAGTCAGCCGACACAGGCCAGCCATGGGTGTTCAATCGCAGCGTAGACATACCTTATCTCCCCCTGGTCTCTCATTACCAGACCTCTCTCCCTTACCTATCACAGAGGCCTAATTGAGTCATATGACCCAGAGCTCAAATGACCTTCATTGTCCCCATGTGGGGAAGAAAGTTGGCTGAGACCCACCTCTCTTTAAAGAGCCAGCCACGCAGTGACAGTTACACATCAGCATTTCACACTAAGGAAACAGAACACCAGAAGAGAGGAGATGTGATCTAGTAGTGTGAGCACAAGATTAAAAATCAGGAGCACCTGAGTTCTAATCCTGCCTCTGACACAAATTCCTGAGATGCTGGACAGGCCACCTTCTCTAGTTTCTAGCTTCATTTTCTCCATCAGTGAAATAGGAATAATATTTACTTATCTACCTCAAAGGGCTGTTATATATTGTCTGCAAAGCACCTTAACCAAATAAAAGTCCTCTAGGTAACATTATTAATGCCACTACAATAAATGGAGCAGAGACACTAATAAGTGTACTTGAAAACCATGGAACAGTCTAAGAGAGATACAGAACTCATCATAATTTTTAGAAGTCTGTTTTACCCTGCAAACATGACAGACAGAGCAAACAAATAAACGAACAACTCCTCTAATGAAACACTAATGAGTCTGTAAACAAACTGGACTGGTAGATTGGTGAACAAAGCACTAAAGCAAAACCCTTCAGAAGGCTGCTTCTAAAGCTGTGCAGGAATACTTACTTGCTGAACTATTTGCCATATCATACACGTTGTGTCTCTGGAACCTGAAATTAAATGGATTCCACAGAAATCTATAGCCAAACAGGTCACAATATCTATAAAGGAAAGAAAACAAATTACCTTAACTTTGCATCTTATCTAAACGTTTTATCCGGCTTTAAAACGGACGGACATTTGGTGGCAACGGGATGCTGTGCAGCATGCCAGCAATGTAGTTACATTTGCAAACAAACACAAACTCTACACCAGGAATGTGGTATACATTTTCAAGACTGATTAGAGTCTAAAATCCTAGCTGTAGTAATAAAGCCCTAGCCATGAGCAGGACAAACATTAAAAGTAATCATTATTATCTTATCTTAAAAAAATAAAGATAGTTTTTAAAACACACTAGACTATTACTGGAATGATTATATAAATACTTGAGCACATAGGTTTTCATTAGTCCTACTTGAACCACAGAGTGTGATGGCAAGAATGGGAGAAACTAGCGTATTCTTTCATTACAATGTGATCCAAGTACACTATTCTATTATCCTTTATAAAAGACTGAGCCTTGTAATAGTCAGTGTCAGATTTTTGTGTTACAAAAAACAAGTATAAAATATGTAATTTCATAATTCAAAACAAAAATAGTTTACTTACCCATGTGTCTGACATGCTGTCCAATTAACTTGCCCTTTGTGAGCGATGTCACTCTGATGCTATTGTCCCAGTGCCCTCCACTGAACAGCAACTTTGCATCATGGGACACTACAAACAATTTAGAGGTGATCTCTAGCCCTGGAGCAAAAGGACCATTTATGCTACGCTGGGTTCTGCAAACAAATTTTACAGTTAAGATTTGCCCTATGTTAATATTATGCTCTATAAAGAATATGTACCTAGGAACACTAGGGGTGAAATCCTGGCCTCCTGATATCAATTAAAAAATTCCCTTTGTCTTCAGGGGGGGCCAGGATTTCATGCTAGTTCTTTATACAATATCCTACCTGGTTTGAGACTCTGTGGATAACTTTAATCCACATTAAATAGTATTTATAGAAAAACATTTTTTCAAAATTCTGTAAAAAGACAAACCTCTTGTAAACTATCAAAAGGCGTGGTACAGTTTGTAATCTAAAGTGTGGTTCTACTGTGGAAAGGGACTATAAATGGTAGTTTCTCGGGAAATCTACTCCTCCCATGTATTCAGTCTCATATCTGTTCACTTTGATGACAAGTGTTTTAACTACTCTTGACTCCTGTTAATACTGTCAAGCTAACATATGTAAGGAAGAGTGAGCTCTATTCCTCTTAGTCCATCAACAACAGAAGAGTTTATTAAATTCCAATCAGTTACCCTTGTGCAAACCCAGTGAATGCAATGGGAGTTGCACAGATGTCACTGAAAACATAGCTGGAAGATATGAACTGCATAGGTGTAAACAAGGCCAGATCTGCAGAACATTTATTATGAACGATGATGCATGAGAATAATGAAGCAAGCTTGACTCTCAGATGCCAGAATGAGTTTGCAGGGCTGGCAGTTAGAAAAACATTTTAGTAAATTGGTCTGAAAGTCAGTAATAGACAATGAAGACAGAACCTTACAATAGCATTTTTATAGTCACTTTTCAGAGAAAAACTATAGTTGGGGATGTCAAAGCTTTGAAAAATGTAAAGCACACTATATAGATGTTAGGTTTTAATTAAAAATCCCTGATAATTAAAGCAATGCTATCAAATCACTATAGAAGAAGTCTGTGTACCTATAGTACTTTGACTCATACTATTTTTATAATAGAGTTCACTACTGCACCTTTCCTCCTCTTTACTTACTTGGGATTTGTCACAGTTGGATCTCTGATGAACGTAAAATAGTTGGAGATATTTCTATCATATGGTAGCCACCCGTGGGTTCCAATAATGCAGTTCAGACTTGCTATCACCTGAAAAAGTAAGTTTGATAAAAATCAATGAAATTGTGTAATGTTGCAAAGCCCTCTTCTTTGCATGGCTTTCCCAATAACAGAGCTTGCATCTGAGCCAACATAGGTCTCTTGACAGTTTACCACCAAACTGATCCAGCTGAGGCTAGCACTATCATGAGGACAGGATGGAGAGTCTGTGAGGTTTTTTGTTTTATTATTTTTTTAAAATAACGAGTTATGACTAAGGCTACGTATGTGTCATGGGCGCCATGGAAGTCAAGGAATCCCTGACTTCCAGAGACCTCCCTGACATTCTCTGCTTCGGACTCTGGCGCTGGCAGCCAGCGGGGCCCTGGCAGGGTTCCAGCGACAGGCAACAGCAGCGACAGGAGGCCCCCTGCAAGGTTCCAGCGACAGGTGACAGACTCCTGAGTGGGCCCTCCTCAGGATTCCAGCAAGAGGCAACAGACTCAGGTGTGGGGACGCACCTCGGGCGAGTGGCTGGGGGTGTCCCATTTTCTCTTTGGGAAATATGGTCACAGTGCAGCTCCCAGCCACAGTGGGTGGAGGGGGGCCCCCCTGCAGCTTCCAGCCACCCCGGTGGCAGGGGAAACCATGGAGCCGCAGCAGCAAAAGTCACAGACAGGTCACGGCTTCCGTGAATTTTTGTTTATTGCCCATGACCTGTCCGTGACTTTTACTAAAAATAACCATGACAAAATCTTAGCCTTAGTTATGACTCTAACGTATGGTATATACTGCCTAGATAGAACAGTGAATGATGCTTGTGTGTGATATATATTGGCTAGCTAGAACAGCGATTGGTACTTGAGACACAGGCTGGTAAGAAGGCCTATGCTTTGCACATGCATTTCATCATAATTATTTAATTCTTGTATTTTCTTTGAAATACTCAGTGGTAGTAACTAGCATTTAAAGTTATGACAAATTAAAAGACATTCCCAGAGTCGTTTTGTTACTGAGCCAGTGTGAAAGTAATTCCATCTAGTTTTAATGTAGTGCACTATTTTTGTCAGTGACTTGAAAGGAATAGAATCAAATCTTTAGACACAGGTGTACTAAACCTGACTAGCCACAGGTTTATTTATGCCTAATTTGGCCTACACAAATGTGAGTGGAGGAAATTGAACAATATGTGAGCACTTCCAAAGAGATTATTAAGATGGGGATTGTTATAAGAACCTAGATTCAGATTGATAGTAACACATTATCTCTACCCCCAATGTCATTATGACATCTAGAACATTACTAGCACCCACATTTTGTCAATATAAAGGTTAATTTTAGGAACAGTGCAGTCATATGTAACCCAGAGTTTCAAACAGCTGTACTGACACATCCAACTCACCAGGATCTCTGGGCTCCCTTGAGACATAAAGGAACGTGACTGGTTCCTGGGAACAACAGCCTTGACAATGGGAACACCATCACTGATACCCTATGAGAAATGACATTTTCAGTTGACAAACATCCATAGGTGGTACAAATACTTTAGTTACCTGGTAGACAAAGTTGCACTACCAGGTAGAAGTACTCACATCTTAGTGGCCGAACTTAGCTATTTAACACTAGGGGAGAAATCCTGACCACTTTGAAGTCAATGGGAATTTTGCCATTGCCTACAGTGGGGCCAGGATCTCTCTCTCCAGCCTGCATGTAGGCTCTTGGAAAGTAAGAAGGCTAAGGAAGCAAAAAGAATAAAATGTAACATTTAGATAGTTAAAATAAATGTTATAGAATCACTGCAGGATGAGGGTAAGTAAACTTACTCAACCTCTACAAGTTCTCTGCAAAGAAACATCTCCTTCTATACAAATGGTTTATTAGATGTTTTGTACAAAATTTTCTTTACATTATAAGCAAGTTTATTTTTACTCTGCTGACCACCTTTTATTCCAACGTATTAGAGGTTTCAGACTAGGCTTAAAACATATGCAATGCAATATGTGTCAGATGCTACCTCTACGAAGAATGACTTAAGTTCAGGGAGATGCTGGAACAGATTCAGGGTTGAGCTGTCACTTTTGGTCTGTCTCTGTACTACCTCCTCTGCAGATAATCTCGCAGGATGAGGTTCCTAGGAGACAATATCGATTTTTTTTTTAAATCAAATTTATACACAATCTCAGCATAGCGGGAAATTATCTTTTATTGAACTGTTCAAGTCATGTACGGTATTCAGAGTCAAGAGAGAATGTAAACTGTATTTCTAACTCAATATATTAAATTCAGATGAAGGGATTCCTCTGGAGTTACTGTTTCTAGACCATTTTTCTATACAAAGAAAACCTTGGCTGATTTAATTGGAAGATTTACTCTACATGGGATAGGGAGAGGGAAAGATTTTGTTACATTCATTTGGTGGCTTTTTCTTAAAGCTGTTTTATTATTTGAGGAAGAAATATTTACCATTCATACCAAAAAAGGAACATTTAGATTTTTTATTACAAGCCATGTTGCTAATCTTTCCTCTCACTGAAAGCTAGCATGAAAGGGTTACTATACATAACACCTGTAGAATGTCACATCTGTTCTAGAATTTAGACAGCCTTAGGACTAGACACTAGGGAAAACTGGAGCGGAAACCTGGACAGAAAGGAATAAAAGTGGAGAATTGGACTAACACCAACAAAAACGTACTTCCTGTCTTACAGGAGCATATTTAACAAAATACCAAGTACTATACAATAACTATTAAAGGCATGCAGAAGGCAAACGACTCCTATGAATAATCTCATTAAAAAAATTGACTAGATGGCAAATCTATCTGAAGGGGCTTTTCTCGGAGCTATAGTTAGCCCTCAAAAATATTAAGTGGCAAAATTATGAAGAAAGTTGTTTCCACATCTATTTAAGTTATATCGGAAGATGAAATACCAGAGATAAAATTTTCAAAGGCTCCTAAGTGACTTTGGAGTCTAATTCCCATTTTCAAAAGTGACTTGGGCCTGGTCTACAATGGGGGAGGGGCGGGGGGGCGGAACTGATCTAAGTTACGCAACTTCAGCTATGTGAATAATGTAGCTGAAGTTGACGTACTTAGATCAACTTACCATGGTGTCTTCACCGCGGTGAGTTGATTGCTACCGCTCCCCCGTCGACTCCGCATGTGCCTCTCACCGAGCTGGAGTACAGGAGTCAACGGGAGAGCGCTCGGGGATCGATCGCTGCCCGCCGATCCGGCCGGTAGTGAAGACATACCCTTAGATACTTAGGTGCTTAAATCTAACTGAAAGTCAATGGGACTTAGGCTCCTAAGTGTCTAGTCACCTTTGAAAATGGGAATTAGGCTTTATTGAAAATTTTATACCAGGTCTTCTTTATTAATGATAACACCCTAGAAGGTTAACTTTCCTAAAAGTTATGGGTTTCCTAAACCTTACAGGTTATAATACCTGGAATAGACTCTTAAAGGAACAATGGCCATCACAATAGTTGCACAATCCTTCCACAAGCCCCTGCCACTCAAGTGTACATCTTCCCAAAACTGACTGATATGGAACTTGTGTGTTTATTGCTACAAAAAGAGATTTACCTTCAGCAGCTGACAGGGTGTTTGTCCAAAATTGTTAATCATCCCTTCTAAAGCTTTCCTTTCCTTCTCATCTGTTAAGGCATCTAAATCCACAGCTCCTGGAATCATAACCAGAGTAGTAGAGGGCAGTAAAACAAAAAGCAACATTGTCTACACAGAATTCACCGAAGAAAGAGATACGAAACACATGTAGGAAAATATACACTAACTGCAAAACCATTACCCTTTCTCTCTATAAAATTATCCACCACCATCAATTTATTTTACATAGTCTCCTAAAAGTTCCATTCTGCAAACTTTCTCCTACAGAAGTTAGTAAGTGTTTTGGTTGCAGCATCTGGCTTTTGGGAAGATAAATTTTCTTTATTTAATGCATGCAAAAAGTAACCCAGAATATACTTTCTTGATTAAAGACTTTCTAGAGTTTACCTTCTAAAATATGTTCTATAGTAAATTACTATGACTAGACTCTAGAAAATAAGTTCCAATATGTTTTCCATTATGTTTCCAATGGAATCTTAAAGAACTGTTTGTTAATTGAACAGAAGCAATTATAAAGTTCCTACAGAAGCAGGGCTGGCTCCAGGCACCAGCAAACCAAGCAGGTGTTTGGGGCGGCACATTTTCAGGGGCAGCATTCCAGCCAGCCTCTTTTTTTTTTTTTTTGGCACTTGGGTGGCAAAAGCCTAGAGCTGGCCCTGGCAGCAGCAGCACGTCCTGCACAGGGGGCGCCCTGGGGCTGCTGTGGTTCGCGTTGGGGAGCAGCGCCCGCACCTTATGGCCGGGCGGGCTCCAAGCGCGGGACATTCGGGCTGGGGCCGCCTCTCAGGGAACACGGAGCCGCCTGCAGGTGCTGCAGGGCGGCTGCCTCCCCGGCGCCGCAGCCGGGGCTGGGCAAAGCGGCCAGAGCCGCCCAGGGACTGTGGCAGGGCGGCCAGGAGCAGCAGCAGGAGCGGGGCCATAGAGGGTGGGGCGCTGCCGTGCGGGGCCTGTGTCCCGCTCTCCGGGGCTCCACTCCCTCTGGGGCTGCCCTGCCCCGGCTCCTCAGCCCTCTGCCGGGCAGTCCCCCGGCTCTGTCCTCTCCGGTCCCGGCCTGTCCTGGAGGCAGGAGCCCCGGCTGGAGGGACCCTGGGCTGAGGCGCGGCCCGGGAGCCCCGCTGCTTACCCCGACTCTGCCAGCGCTGGACCGGCTGGAGGCGAGGGGGGAGCGGGCGGAGTCAGCACTGGTGGGGGGGAAGCCCAGTGCTGGGGCGGCAGGCGGTGGGGGGGAGAGCCCAGTGCTGGGGCGGCAGGAGGTGCGGGTGGGGTGGGGGGAGAGCCCAGGGCTGGGGTGGGGGGCAGCCAAAAATTTTTTTGCTTGGGGCGGCAAAAAACCTAGAGCCGGCCCTGTACAGAAGGGCTAAAGAGGGTATTTAACTAAAAATTCACATTTCCTTATCTGAACATCAAATATTCTGTTGTTTTACCATATGGCACTATACTGCATTCATGATGAGGAATCTGTTTCCAGATATTTCTCAAACCCCACAAATATGATTGCAATGACAAGAAGAGAGCACAGTTTTGTACCTTCGTAAGTACAGTAATAGAACACATTGAGTGCCTCCACTGCAGCTGGTCCCCTCTGTTTGTAGCCAAAAATCAGATCTATCCATTCATGGAGATGAGCAGAGACATACTCAGACTCCTAAGACAGAAAGAATTAATATCAGCAATTGAAGTACTAACTCCTTCTCCCAAATACACTGGTGGGATAAAACACAAAAAATTACAGTGCCCACAAACTGCCTAAGATGCATGCACATCAGCAGCAGTTCAATAGATGTGAAAGAATATGCATATGTGCTAAGGACATTAACGTGAACAAAGGAGAGGTATTATTTAATACGGCTGTTGATTAACTGCAGTTAACTCACGCGATTAACTCCAAAAAATTAATTGATTAATCGCACTGTTAAACAATAGAATACCAATTGAAATTTATTAAATATTTTTGCATGTTTTTCTACACATTCAAATATATCGATTTCCATTACAACACGGAATAGAAAATGTACAGTGCTCACTTTATTATTTTTTATTACAAATATTTGCACTGTAAAAATGATAGAAATAGTATTTTTTCAATTCACCTCCTACAAGTACTGTAGTGCAATCTCTTTATCATGAAAGTGTAACTTACAAATGTAGATTTTTTTAATTACATAACTGCACTCAAAAACAAAACAATGTAAAACATTAGAGCCTACAAGTCCACTCAGTCCTACTTTTTGTTCAGCCAACCGCTAAGACAATCTCTTTTGTTTATATTTACGGGCGATACTGCTGCCTGCTTCTTATTTACAATGTCACCATGGCACTTTTGGAGCCAGCGTTGCAAGGTATTTATGTGCCGGATATGCTAAACATTCTCATGCCCCTTCATGCTTCGGCCACCATTCCAGAGGACATGCTTCCATCCTGATGATGCTTGTTAAAAAAATAATGTGTTGATTAAATTTGTGATTAAATTTGTGACTGAACTCACTGGGGGAGAACTGTATGTCTCCTACTCTGTTTTACCCTCATTCTTGCATATATTTCATGTTATAGCAGTCTTGGATGATGACCCAGCACGTTTGTTTTAAGAACACTTTCACTTTCACAGCAGATTTGACAAAACGCAAAGAAGGTATCAATGTGAGATTTCTAAAAATAGCTACAGCACTCGACCCAAGGTTTAAGAATCTGAAGTGCCATCCAAAATCTGAGAGGGACAAGGTGTGCAGCATACTTTCAGAAGTCTTAAAAGAGCAACATTCTGATGCGGAAACTACAGAACCCAAACCACCAAAAAAGAAAATCAACCTTCTGCTGGTGGCATCTGACTCGGATGATGAAAATGAACATGCGTCGCTCTGCTCTGCTTTGGACTGTTATCGAGCAGAACCCGCCATCAGCATGGACACATGGATGCTGGAATGGTGGTTGAAGCATGAAAGGACATATGAATCTTTAGCACACCTGGCACATAATTATCTTGCAACGCCGGCTAAAACAGTGCCATGTGAAAGCCTGTTCTCACTTTCAGGAGATATTGTAAACAAGAAGCAGACAGCATTATCTCCTGCAGATTGTAACCAAACTTGTTTGTCTGAGTGGTTGACTGAACAAGGAGTAGGACTGACTGGACTTGTAGGCTCTAAAGTTTTACATTGTTTTATTTTTGAATGCTCTTTTTTTTGGTACATCATTCTACATTTGTAAGTTCAACTTTCATGATAAAGAGATTGCACCACAGTACTTGTAGGAGGTGAATTGAAAAATACTATTTCTTTTGTTTTTTACAGTGCAAATATTAGTAATAAAAATAAATATAAAGTGAGCACTGTATACTTTGTATTCCGTGTTGTAATGGAAATCAATATATTTGAAAATGTAGAAAACATCCATAAATATTTAAATAAATGGTATTCTCTTATAGTTTAAGAGCGCAATTAATTGCGATTAATTTTTTTAATCGCTTGACATCCTATTATTTAATAATTGCAATAAAGGATTACAGCTAGGAGTAAAGGAATGAAATTTTTAAAAGTAAAATTTAAAAGATCAACAGTAAACTTCCTGATGCTTAGTCACAGATTAGAAAGCCAGAAGGGACAATTGTAATCATCTAGTCCAGGGGTGAGCAAACTTTTTGGCCCAAGGGCCACATCTGGGTGGGGAAATTGCATGCAGGGCCATGAATGTAGGGCTGGGGAAGGGGGTTGGGGTGTGGGAGGGAGTGCAGGGTGCAGTGTGCAGGAAGGGGCTCAGGGCAACGGGTTGGGGCGCAGGAGCAGTGTGGGTGTACAAGGGGTCTCAGGGCAGGGGGTTGGGGTGCAGGGAGGGGTGCGGAGAGTGGGAGGGGGCTTAGAGCAGAGGGTTGGGGGCTCAGGGCAGAGGGTTGGGGTGCAGGAGGGGTGCACCAGGGAGCTCAGGGCAGAGCGTTGGGGTGCAGCAGGGATCTCAGGGCAGGGGGATGGGGTACGGGCTCTGGCCCGGCACCGCTTACCTGGAGTGGCTCCAGGGTGGCAGCGGTGTGCAGTGGGGCCAGGGCAGGCTCCCTGCCTGCCCTGGTCCCGCACCGCTCCTGGAAATGTCCCTGCAGTACAGGGTGGGAGGGGGACGGGAAAGAGGGCTCCACGCGCTGCCCTCACCTATGGGTACCTCCCCTGAAGCTCCCATTGGCCACAGTTCCCCGTTCCCGGCCATTGGGAGCTGCGGGGGGCGGCTGCTCTGGCAGTTTTCCAGACCAATAATCACTCTTGTGGCTCATCTCTGAACCCCCTCCAGTTTATCAATATTCTTCTTGTATTGTGGGCACCAGAACTGGACCCAGTAGTCCAGCAGCAGCCACACCAGTACCACACACTGATGAAGCTTGGAAAGCTGAATGGAGTTCACAAGAAGTCACAAACAAACACCTTGTGAAAGACCCAATGCAGAAGATTCCTGGTTTCAATCTTCCCCAAAGCTTATGGGCAACCCTAAACCTCATCCATTCAAACCATGACAGATGCAGATACTTGATGCACAAATGGAAGATTAAAAACTTTCTAGTGTGTGACTGTGGTCACCCAGAACAGACCATGGAACATATAACAACTCAACGCCCGATTCACAAATACAAAGGAAGCATCACAGTGATACACTCTGTTACTACTGACGCAATTATCTGTCTTAATCACCTAAATGTAAAATTATAGTTGTTGCTCTACATCTACATCAGCCATACGAAGTAGACAACCACTGTTGAAATGGAAAGCATATTCTGATTATATGACACGACTACATCATCTGGCTTTTTCCCAAGTACAGAACAGAAATATTTATTGAACATGTCTGTCTATTTCTGCATCATTATTGATAATTATATCATTTCCATCCTGCTATAGACTAATACCATTGGTAGGATTTTTTTTGTTCTTAATATATTTAAAGAAATTCCTTATTATTGTGCTTAACTCTGCTGGCCATAGATTTCTCCTTGTGTCCTTTTGCTTCTCTTATCAATCATCTAGTTCCTAGCTTCTGATTTATATTAATTACTATCAACTTCCCATTTCGTGTGTGTGTGTGTGTGTATGTGTATATATAAGTAAATAAAAATAAAAGCATGTACTGTATTTCTGTTTCATTACTTCATCCAAAGATTAAGGTAGTCATTGTCTTACCAGTGCTTTCCTGTGTTTACAAATGAAGTCTTCAGGTGACTTGGCCCATTTTGGGAGAACAACATCATTCACTACCTCTTTGGAGATTTGTAGCTTACCCAAGTTAAACTCTAGGGAATATAATTGAGACAATTTGGTTTCAAAAGTTATGACAATATGTTTCAAGTATCTTGATCACTAGATGAGAGATTAAGAAGCTGAATAAGTAAATCTAATAAGTGAAATGCAAGAAGCCAAAAAGTGTAATGTCTCATGTCAACATGCAGGGAAAGTTATCTTTAACAACATAGGTTATGTTTAACAAGAGCTTTCTTACTTCTGAAGAATCCTGGAGTCTGCTGTAAATTCAAGTTATACAAGACCACGTTTGATAATACCAGTTATGAGTCTAGATTCTGCAGGCCTGTCTAATTAAAAAAAGATCTCATGTTCCAGATTAGCATACCTCTTCCAGAGGAGGTGGGTTTAGGACCCAGAACAGTTAAAGCAAGTTAACTGTAATGAGTGCAATTTAGAATGTTCAACTTTTTTAAAAAAATACCTTTTTCTTCTTTTAGATTAAACTAAACATCAATACTCTTAGCCATCCCAGAACCCTGGGTAAGAATTTTAAATTACAAAGTTAAATAGTGGCTTAGATAACCGGCATCTCACTAAATGGCTAAAAGGTAGTATGACCATAAAGTAATTTTCACATGTTCAATCTAATCAAGAACAGTTTTCCTCAATCTTCTTAAACAGGTTCTGACAATGCTCTCTAGTAGTGTGTGGGATGCATGTTCTATTCAATAAATTCTGAAAAGTCTGTTTACTATTTTGATTCTCCAAGAACTCTGGGAAGTAGAAGAACTCTGGGATAAGCTCCTTCACATCATTTGGGTTATCCATAAGGGCTTGCCATGTTGCAGGAATGGAATGGAACTGCCGATCTGCACAGTCAAACCTGTAGGTTGGAAAGCTCAAGTTACATTTTGACAGCTCCCATTAAAAAGCCATCATTGAAGTTGAGGGAGAAGAGACAAATATTACTGTTCATTCACAATTTACCTGCCACTCTGAAGCTGGATATGCAGTGTGGTGAAAGGCTCTACTCGAATGAGATAATGCATGACACCAGCAGCATTTGAGTAGTGAGTACCATAGTGAAACTTGTCAATCGTCCCAAGAGGATCCTCAAAATTCTCATATCTAAAAGACAGAGATCGAGATCTTTAAATTAATAACTACAGCACTCTATGTCTGATACACACAGATTATATTTATAGTATACAGAGAATGCACAACAGATGCATCACTAACTGTTTTTCACTAGCTAAGTGGCCTATGACAGTTTTGTTAAAAATTACATCAACATATACTGAGTGCCTCTGATTGCAGGAAGAAGAGGTGCATTTAGGACTTAAATAATTATTTTCCCATTTCAGGTCCCAAAAGACACAGCCAGCAAGTTCCCATCCAGTTGATGCACCAGATAGCAGATGTATCACTGAATGCCATGAGGCTGGCAGGAAAAGCCATAGAAACAAACTCACTGCCCAGGAACCAGCACTGACTCCAACCATGGATATCAGGTAATTATTCACAGTAAATCTTCTGTTCCCAGGAGAAACCCTGTTTGGGAAGAAACTTGACAAGTGCTGCCTGACAACCAAGACAAGCCAAAGTGTTCGCTCCCCACTCCAGCAAAACTTAAGGATGACTATGCTCATGTGTGAGTGGAAGTAGCTGTCATTCCTATCTACAAAAAAGTTACCAGAGAAGAGATTCAACTTATTTCAAGGATAAAATTTGGGCTCAGAACACCAGGAGGAAGCCCAGACCCAAAATAGGGTAATCCCTCCTTCTAGTCAAATCCACCAGTATGGCTGCATCTGGGATGCCTATATCCAGAAACATGTATAGGGGACAAGATAAGCCACTTTTCAATCATCTGGATCCAGTCAACTTCAGACAGGTGCCCCTTAGTTCCTCTGAAACCCTGTGTTTCCTCTCTTGAACCCTTAGAAACAAACCAACCTGAAAAAGATTTCTTACCTCCTAGAGCTAGAGGCAATAAAACTTGACTCTTTAATGTTGCATATGCTGCTGTTAATATAACAGCATCGCTGCCTAACAGTTCCAAGCTATCTGGCTAATGTATGTCTTTGCCATCAAACAAACAGGCTAATTTTATAACAATTAATGTCACAGTTACAAATAGTTATGGAATTCTCAGAATGAATTATTATTAGTCTTAAAATGTCCCATCAGAAAGCTAAAATAAATGGAGAGAGAAACATAACTGGGAATTTTAATACTTACTTTTCTTGCACAGCTTTGGCATTCTTTTCATTCACCACTCCAATGGGTTTGGATAGATCCCTAAAGACAGCAGGATTATTCAAGTCCAACTCTTCTGATGTGTAATCTCGCAGGATCCAAGGAAACTAGAAAGTCACAGTTCAAAATTCAGATATAAAATCCATCTTTCCACAAAATAATCACATTTATCCAGTGACAATTAACAAAAAAATTTACCACAGGATATTGGGCAAGGTCATTGTAAGTTCGTCCCGCCATGGTGTTCAATTGAACAAGATAGTCAAAGTTTGATATTTCTCTGTTCACCCATTTCTGAAGGAGACAAGAAAAGGCAACACTAAAATTATTAAACTAAAGAAACTGTTGTCGTTGTAGAGTGTGTCTTGTCAATGCTTACCTACCAGGAGATATTTCTCATAGTGAGGGGCACTAGACTAAACACAAGAATTTGCAAATTTCAATTTTCATAACTTAGTTTAAAATTCCTCCTGCATCTGTGGCTGTGCTCTGTCTCTTGATGAGATTAGCTGACACCTGGCAGAGGCAAGGGGTTGTCAAATTCAGGTTAAATGCAGGGGACAGCTAACAGCCCTAAACTGGCAATACGTTTTTTTAAAAACTAAATGAAACTAAACAAACAAACAAAAAGGACAGAAGAAAGGGGAAAGAGCAATAGTGGAGAAAAAGCAAAACAGAAAAAAAGCTGAAAAGGTAAAGGAGAGAGGTAAATAAGTATTGGAAAAAGGGAGCATTTGATAAAGAATTCCAATAACAAAAAAACAAAAAAAAAGTCTTTTGATCTTCCTCAATTAACTGAATATGCATCAGTGAAATATTCCAGTATCCTTGTGAAAGTGCTGCAGACTTAGTGTTTTATATCCTTAAGAGGACGGAGTGCCTTATGTAACTCTGAACCTTCCATCTAACTAAGGATTGGTGATGATAACTTCTTTCCCATTCCTCTTTGTCTAGGAAAGTGGCTGAGGTGCAGAGCAAGGAAAGCGAAGGTACAAAAGAGGAAACTGGAGAAATCTTAATGTTAATAAGAGCATACATTTCTCTATTTCTCACAGAAAACTACAGCATCTGTTGATGCCCAAAAAACCCCCAAAACAAAACAAAACACCCCAGAAAAATAAGACTGCCCTGTGAAGTTAGATAAATTGCCAAAATTTCATGATGTTTCTGAAAATTGACACTTGGCTTACAAGCAAATAATACTGTACCTGAAGCAAGGAACCATGGCCACACCTCTACATCTTTAAGTGGGTTTTGTTGAAAGCACCCATAATAAGATAAAGCAAATAATTTGTACACAGAGCAAAATAAATTTTCACCTAAGCCCCATGTGCTGACACCAGAAGACAAATTTTCAAAACTGTCCTCTAATTTTTGTCGTATGTCTAACATCTGCAAACACAAATAGGCCTGCAAACTGGTATAAATGCAATAATTGGGCGCACACACAATTGCACATGCAAAAGTTTAGAGGTCAGATGAAATACCCTAGTTTAACTACTTTATTATTAAGCAGTTCTTTGAGAAGCACTGAAACACCCTAAATCATTTCAACTGAAATCATCTTACCTGCATCAAGCCTGAAGCTTTAAACAGTTCCTGTGGAGATCTGGTCCCATAAATATTTGGAGAACGGAGTGACAAGATTCGACTGTACACTTTGTTTCTCACCTATAAGAAAACATTTACACTGGAAAATTCAGCTAATAAAACCAAAAGCAACTGCTCTACGGATTAAATTCTTAATGAAGCAAAAAATTACTACATTTTTGAACTGTGCTGCCCTCTTGCTGCCAAAAAGATATTTATTCAGCTGCAGGGGCTAAAAATGGGTATTATTTGTGATTAATTGAAATACTACTTTTGCAGAATCACAACCCAGCAAAATTACACATTATCCCCACATAAACATAATAGAAAACACTGCCATTTTTCATGTTTAATATTGTATCAGTCTTTTCTACACAAGCTACTCTGATGAATTATTCACTTTAAATATTCACCATCTAACAGCTATTCATAACATTTACCAATTCATCACTATCTAACCCAGCCCTGTTCAGTTATTCATTTTAGCCTCATCCTATTTAAATTATCCAAGAAAACATTACCACAGCATTTGCAAACCATCAGAAGGACAAGATATAAATAATTTCCCCCTCTGCATGACAGTAGGATAATAATTCTCCATTGCTTTGTAATTCATTTGTACAAAGTTTTTATGATTTGTTTTGTACAAAGAAGTTGAGATTACCCCTGGTATAATTTCTCATGAGGCAGAAATTAAATAGTAATTGCACATGAAAAAATAAGAGTTTTGTTTTTCTTTTGACTATTCAATTTTACTGGAAACCAGACTGGGGTTTTCAACAACATAAAAAGATCCATATTCTAATTTCTCAGAGCAGCTCAATCTAGCAAGTACTCTGACCTAATATAATGCTGCAGAAGCTGCCAAAAATCACATTAGCCATGGCCATTAAACTAGAATTTGTCACCTATGCTGAGAGTCCACCAGGGGAGCTTTGACAATTCCATACCTCCTTATTGAAGTTAAGGAAGTAGTTGGTCTGATCAGTGAGGAAGATCTCCAAGGCTGACCGCCTCAAGTTGTATCGGCGCAAGTGTATCTCTCGAATTTGAGAAAGGGACCATTTGAAATCAAAACCTACTCCTGTGAACAGAACAACTTCAGTTATTGATCCAGTTTCTTTTGGTGAAACAGTTCAGTTAATTTTCTCAAGATCAGTTTCACGTATCAGAGTTAAACTATACACATTAACCTTTTTATAAAAGCTCAAACAGATATCGCTGATTAATCCTTACAAACTACTTTTTTTATCAATTCATACAGGTGACAAAGCTCATATGGTTAGCATAACTGGTGAACAGCATGGCAGAAATCATGGGGAACTGCCTTTTACTCATATAAATTAGACAAAGACATTTTGTTCCTTAGAATATGATTACCAGTCTTAATGCTACCCCAGGAGAGGGGGAAAAAAATTTTAAGACTGCACTAGTAAAATGGCTCAGTGGATAGGCTACATTTACAGACCCCTTGCTCGAAAGAAACAATATGAAGTCATTAGCCTAATGAGCATTACATACAACTCTGTTAATTAGCTAAGAGAGAGGTTTCTAGATGTCAATCACACTGGTATTTGTTCTCAAAAAATAAAGTTTAGCTGGAAAGAACATGTTGCAGAACTACGAGGAAGTAGAGCTATTGTGATGCTCACCTTCCTCTTTTTCAATGCTGCCATCATAGAAGCAGATGTGCTGGGTAGTGACCTCCAGTCTGCCAGGTATTACATCAATTAGTGTAATGAATTCACATTCTTCAGACAGTACCAATTTTTCTTTCTGACCCTGCTCCTCCTTTTCATCCCTACAACAACAACAACATCACCATCCCATGTCATGTGTTTTTCTAGACTGCACAGTTCGACCAGGTACAAACTAAAAGCACAATTTAGAAAAGAATCAAATCTGAATTGCCTTAAGAGCATGTCATACAAAACATTCCACTATTTCACTTTCATTAGTAGGCTCATGAGTTCTCTGATTCAGCGTTTATACCCCAAACCTCTGTTCGTTTCATAGCAGAGCTTTTTAATCTTTCTATTCCAGTCACTTGTTTTATATACTAAGATCTTACAGGATGGATCTGCTATTGTTACAGTATAAGGTATAATGCCAACTTTCATATCTCTGGATTAATAAAGAGGCAAAAACTTAAAAATAAGCCAACACACAAGCTCCACTATAAAGTCTCCTTGCCCCCCTAGTTCCAAGAGTCAACAAACTGTGGCAATATTTCAAATAGAAGTTACTGAAAAGTTTATAATACAAGGTTGTTTAGTTTTTAAATAAATACGTGAACTGACTTTTGTAACTTTAAAGGTATAATATAAGGCAGTATATAATTATTCATATAAATAAAAATATTCGGATCACTTTTACAGGCCTCTCTTTAACAAGGCTTCTTCTTTGCACCTACAATTTTATGGTACAAAGAATTGTGTGTGCAATTTTGCATCTACAGTTATTGGGGCATATTATCATCTCCGTTTCACTTCTTTTGAGCCACTCAGATGGCATAACGAACGCATCTCCCCAGATGTAGGGGAAGTCTCCAGTAGACACACAGCTCAGCATAGCTGGCACCTACATGGCTCTTTTCCTGCCTCTTTTGGTGCGGCAGACATGTCAGAGGCAGGGAGGGAGGGAGCAGAGGAAGGGGCAGGACTGAAGTCTGCTATGCTCCAGCTATACTTAATTTGCTGATGGCCCCATGGGAATCATTGCTAGCTGGTGCATGTTAGAGTAGCCATGAGAATGGTCCAACTTGAGCCCAGGCCCAGGGCTAAAGAGAATCAGGGATAGGCCCTCACTGATGTGGCCACTCCCCATCTACAATTCTACCCCATTATTTTAGCAAGGAGGGTAAAGAAAACCTGTTTCTGCTTGCTGCTGTTTTTTTATGAGTAGCGTATCACTATCCAATCCCCATGCTTGTTAGACAATGTGCATTTATCCAATAGTAGCGCCCTTAGGGTATGTCTACACTACCCACCGGATCGGCCGGCAGCGATTGATCCAGTGGAGATCAATTTATTGTGTCTAGTCTAGACGCAATAAATCGACCCCCGAGCACTCTCCCGTCGACTCCTGTACTCCAGCACCGCAAGAGGCGCAGGCAGAGTCGATGGGGGAGCAGCAGCCGTCTACTCACCACGGTGAAGACACCGCGGTAAGTCGATCTAAGTACGTCGACTTCAGCTACGTTATTCATGTAGCTGAAGTTGCGTAACTTAGATCAATCTCCCCTCCCCAGTGTAGACCAGGGCTTAGTGAGGAAGAGCTACCACTGCTCAAGCAGGTGCCATGCTACCACCTGGGAGTGTAGTAGCCCTCCTTCTTGTTCTTGTCCTGCAACCTGAGCTGGCCGTGAAGGGCTGCCCCTTTCTAAACTGAGATTATATTATTGTAAACCCAATGGCAACTTTTCCATTGGCAACACTATAAATGCTGGATTGAATGGCTCAGGGCTTGTCTACATTAGAACACTCAGGAAAATTAATCCAAATTAGCTAAGTGTGTGAATTTAATGTGCATTAGTTAAACTACAGGCCACTTTAATTCTGAATGAGGGTCTCCACACAGAGGTTTAATACAGTTTAACAAGTCCAACTAAAAATCCACACCTTTAGTTAATATGGTGTAACTTTCCTGAGTGTCCCCATGTAGACAAGCCATTAGTCATAACAGGAAATAAAGAGGGCAGTTTTGTGCACCATCTACCCCAGTCCAGGAGATATTTCCCACTCCTTATCCCCAGTGGAAAGATGAATTTCAGGGTTCCCCAAAGTGCTGTACATACATACATGCTTGCACCAGCAGTTGTGTCCTCTTCTGGCAGTTCAAGTATATCATCCTCCATGTCACTAACTTTCACCTGCTTCACCACCTCCAGGAGCAGTGACTCACTAGATGGCTGTGTTTGCTGCATCCCTTTTGGAATAAAGATATTTTCAGCTCAAACAAAATATAGATTTGTATTTCACCACAGTACTATTGGATAGCTAAACTGTGGTAGCTGACTACAATTACTGGAGTTGAATAGTATCCATGGGCATGTCTACACAGGGACATGCAGGAAAATTAATCCAAATTAACTAAAGGTGCGGATTTGAAGTGAATTGCTTAAACCACATTAAATCCCCGTATGGATGTTGTTTTTCAGAATTCAAATGGACTTAATTCAGTTTAGTTTAATTTACTTTGGACGTGAATTAAACTAAACCAAATTAAGGCCACTTTAATTCTGAATGAAGGTGTACACACAAGAGTTTAATGTGGTTTAAATAATCTACTTCAAATCCATACTGTTAGTTAATTTGGATTAATTTTCCTGCGTGTCCCCATGTAGACAAACACTGGGGAAGGGATGGTTTGTAATCTTACAAAATACGATTCTGGGGAACATAGAATAATTTAAAATACCCCCAACTGTGAAAAATGCAACACTTAACCTCTCAGTTTATAACTCTCAGTTATAACTGTGGCCAAATATTTGATCACATCTATAATTCTTCATGATACCACATAGGCTTGATTCAAGTTTAAAGCGATAATTTCAACATATTTTAGTCTCAACATTTACCTTGCTTAAAGAAATATAAATATTGTAAAGGTCCCTGAAAAACTATTTGTTTGCTCATATGAAAAATAGAGTTGGGAGGGGTTCTTTGGCAATATGAACATGCCGACATAAAGCATTCTCTAGGGATGCTGAATGAGATTTATTTTGAAGGAAGATTCCGCTTTGGATCTAAGCAAGTTGACAGTATCCCATTAAAACAGATTTTTCAAGAAAACTTTATTTGAATCAACCATATATCCTTTTTTTATCTTACAACATATATTTCCATTATAAGGAAATGTGGGTTTGTTTAGAGGAGAAAATAAAAAAAGCATTTTAAAATAACTACAAAACCCTGTTTAAAATTTGCAAAAGCTTGCTAAGGAATCAGGAATATAAATAGTCCATCATCTAAATTATAAGTGAGGAAATGCAACAGTGAATTTGGATCTTACCTAAATTGTCTCTCAGGTCACTGGCCTCCTGATGGGAGTTGAAATTGTAATTTTGCACTAGTTTTAACCTCATACGCGAGTAGTTTTCCACATTTGAAAGTTTCCAGTAAATGGGATTCTGTTTCCTAGAGATAGCAAAAATATTTATACTAAGATATAAAAAACAAATATTTAGAGGGAATGAGTTGATTCTATCAGAGTCTGTATTTAAAATCATAATGTAAAAAAAAAAAAAAATCATATACCCTTAAACAAATAAGGGATAACAAATGTAAGATACATTGTACAATACCTAACATTTTAGCACCTAACATACAATGCACATCCTCCATTGAAATACAGCAGCTGTTTAATAGCTCACAGCAAGAGTACCTGACAGTTCTGGACAGGCAGTAAAGAATATCTTATCCAAATGAAATTGATGGGGAAATTCAGGTAGGCATAACACAATAATCATGTTCAAATTTGTCTTAATCCAGGTTTTAGCCTTTGTGTTTGTTACAGAATACCAGCACTGTGTTAAATATCCATTATATCTCACCCTTCTGAAACCCATTACACAACCACTGGTCTTTAGTACATTAAGTTTCTCTCATGTAAGTTTTAAATTTCCTTCATGCATAGCTACTTTTTACATGTTACTTTTCAGTAAAATCTAGCTGAGTTATATATTAAACTTTAGCACTGGTATTTTGCTAGTTAAATGCAGATAAACATTAAAAAGAGAACATTCAATGGTAATCTTATATATCAAGGATGGTTACCAGAATACTTTAACAACCTTCTGCAATTACAACTATATGAAACAGAAAGCAAATTGATTGGACAACTTTCTATTAGACATAAGATGATGTTGGAATAAAGTATTTCACTCTTACCTTTCAGCCCAGGGGCCCTGTTCACAAGTCAGGTAAAGTTGGGCTGCTCTCCACTGCCTCAGAGTAGCGGTGTGTTGACTATTAAGCTGTTTTAGCATGCTGTTATAACGCAGGTTCTCCTGGCGTGCCTTTCGGTTAAATGGCTCCACAAAACACTCCTGAAAGCAACATTGTAAATAAATCTGATGCAGTTTCCTGTAAGAACCTTGTCTTCTGTAAAAACCATTTCGCCTCATGCAAAGGATAAAACCTCCACCAGTAAGTAGGAAATATTAAAGGTAACTGCAAAAATTCTGCTTACTTCAGCAGTATGTGCTGAATAGCTTCACAACCACGCTAAATGAGGGCAGGAAACACAAGCATCTAGGCCAGGATCCACAAAAGGAATTTAGGCATTACAACGCTGAGTGTCACAGTGCCCAACTTTTAAGTGCCCATAAAAATCACAGGAACAACACTGCACGCTACAAACCTGTGTTAGGCACCGATGCTGCCTATCCCATGAATGGGGAGAGACAGGTGCCTTACAATGTGCCCCTACGCTAGCCATTGGGTGTGCTGAGCCCCAATCCTCTCTCGGAGATAGGCACCTACGCCCACCCTGCAGGGAGACGACCAGCTCTGCTTAGTGATCCACGAACAGGAACCAGCCGTATGGAGTCACAAAGCATTCTTTGTGAGAATGCCTGCCTTGCTCCACACAAAATGGTCAGAGTTGGAGGAGATTGTGGTGGTGCCCGTCGTCTAACTTTTAGTCCACAGGTGAGAGCACTCACTTGGGATCTGGGAGATCCAGATTCAATTCCCCATTCAGGCAGAAGGGGAGAAAAATATTTGAACAGGGGTCTCCCATGTCTCAGGAGCAGGCTGAACTATGGGATATTCTGATGTGGGACTCCCTCAATCTCTCCTGTTGAAGCTGTTCCACTTTGGATAAATAATGAAACAGTGACTATTTAAATATTAATCCACAGTGGAACAGTCATTGGACCAAAGAGAGAGAGTGAGAATGAGAATGACTCTATAATCCAATGGTTCAGGCATCTACCTGGGAGGTAGGAGACCACGGGTCCAGTCCCAATCACTCCAATCGCTCTTTCATTATTTACTTGATACCTCAACAGGTAAGCTTCATTCTACAGTGAAATTTCTACAGAAGCTGTCAAGGTGGAGCATGGTACGTGCTGTATGTCACACTAAAGCATCAGCCAGTGTGATCTGCAACTCTGGGGAACCAAAGAGCTAACACCAGTGAGTGTTTACTTATGCTACATTGTAACTACCATGGAAATCCATAAGAGCACGGAACTAGCTTTGGGAGAATCAAAGAAGGACCAGATCCAAAACAACAAACAAGGAGACGTTACTATCATATTTCTGAATAAAAAAAGATCCACCGGACAAAATCAGGGTAGCTGTATTTGATTGTTCTTTGTTAGTGAACCATTAAGACCCGGGGTCAAACAAATTTGTAAAAATCACCATTTAAAATAAGCTTGAAATATCAAAAGGTTTAGTACTGGAAAACAGACAAACAGCATTGATTTAAATGAGTGGAAAAGTGGTTATCAATACTGGATCAATAAAATAATCCGCATGCAAAATGGAGGTATGATGATGATGATGAAGGTTAGGCTCTCTCAATACACATGATCACTGGCAGTGTTTTCCCCCTCAACAATCACTGGGGTCAGATAAGTTTCAAACTAATTTCCTATCCTTGCTCCTGAAAAAGTACAAACTGTTTTTAGAAAAGCTAAAGACTTTACCTGAAATTTGAGCTTGCTTTCTCCTCGTTCTCTGTCTCGCTTATGCATATTCACCATTAATGCCTCATAACAGTCCTTCCAATAAAGTGCCATATGCTCATGACCATCACTAAATGTATTGACTTCATACTGTTTCATATATGGAATAATCTGATGCACAAGAAATATTTAAAAAAAAATCAAGATGATTGCTGAACAGATTCTCTCCTCCCTAATGGAAGAAAATAGAGAGAAAGCCAAGAAGAAGCCATTACTTACATATTTATCAATATAAACTTGCCATTCATCAGAGCTGCAATACTCCCGGAAGTCCTCAAAGAAAGAGGGGCTGCCATTGGTGAGAGGCAACGAGGGTAGGTGCAGGTTCATGAAGAGAAGTTGGTAAACTTTGGATACCAGCGTTCGAACAAGGGGAATCAAGAATGTGTACGTTTCTGTCTTTTCTTTGATTGATCTACTCAGGATGCCTTCCAACTTCCCCAAGAGGTAGCATGCCTCTGCTTGGCTTTCAATTACTTTGGTTTGAAGAAGGGTGTTTAGCTTGGCGGCTGCCATAGCGCAAACCTGGACAGAGAAAAACCAAACCAAACCCCTGTGAGGCTAGTGCATGCACGCTACATTTCACCACAGGGTTTTGTGCGACTCCTATCGCTGTTTGTTAGGTAGTGTGAAACTTCCAGTAAGTTAGAGGAGTATAGGATTTCAATACACTGAGCCACTATTAATTTATTTGCATTATGGTACTGCCCAAATGCCTCTGGCTAGATCACAGTCCCATTGTGATAAGTACTGTACACAAAGACACACCCAGTAGAGATGGCTCTGGCTTCAAAGAGCTTACAATCTAACGCAACTGCTTTCAGGAGCTGAGGATGGAGAGGAATGTGTAACGAGTCTGCATGTGGTGGCAGCAGCTGAAGCCTCTCATTTATAACAAGTCTGAGGATTGTGACATCAGCAAGCTCACTGAAGCGAACTGCATCCCTACAGTCACTGAAAGTTCTAGTGTTACATAATCAGCACGAATGTTACATATAGTATTAGACACATTAATATATAACAAACCTGTAAGTTATCTTGTCCAATGAATCCCAGGAGCAACTGGACCTGCACTTGGGAGAGCTTGATCCATTCTGGGCCAGCAGAGTACCAGAGAGACAGGCTGTCAACGAGTGTCACCAGCTCTTCTAAAAGCTATTGTAAAAGTGAAAGATTTGTGTGAAGAAAAAAGAAACAAAATACGAAGTGCTGAGACACTAGTATAACTACAAGTAAAGTCACCAAATAATCATTTTGAAGGTCTGATGAGGTCTATAAGGGTATGTTTACATAGCCTGTGGCAGCAAGCCCCCCAGCCGGGTCAACAGACTTGGGCTTGTGCTGCCTTGCTAAAAATAGCTGTATTGAGGATGTGGCTCAGGCTGGAACTCAGACTTAGAAGCCTAGAGAAGAGAGTGCGCTTCAGAGCCCAAGCTCCAATGTCTATACAATTATTTTTAGTGCATTAATGCAAGCCCAAGTCTGTCAACCCCGGCAGGGTAGCTCAATGCCACAGGCTGTCTAGACATACCCTACCACAACAAACAAAGCAGGCTGTCCCCCATACTTCAACTTAACCCAAAGTAATTAACTAGCTATACTCTGGGACAGAGGTTCAACAACTAATTGTGACAGAATTCAGGACTGCAACAGCTACGGGTGCAGTTTGACTAAATATCTATCCCCTGAACAAAAATAGTTATGTGTGTATATAAAAATAAAATTAATACTCTATTTCTCTAAGTCATCCCCGGTAAGTGTCAATTCTACAAATACAGTGGCTGAGAATATGATTGTTTTGATTAAAAACGGCTCTACTCTTAAAAGCATACACACCATAAAAGATAAAACATTTTAACTCAGTGTGCATTTATGTTACATTCCTTTCCATTTTATCCAATTTAAATGAAAAATTAATTTATTGTTTCATTACCCCCAGTGGTGTGCATGATGCTTTTGAGAGAATTAAGCAAACAGGATCCCTGCCCTGTTTGTAACCTTCGCGTTTGATCCTGTGAGGTGCTCAGAACCTTGGGCCACTTCCATTCTTTTTCTTCTTCTTCCCAAGCTTATGTTGATGTCATTAATCATATATTAGGAGTAAAATTAATCTTTTTATAATCTAAGAAACATAGTGCATTTCCCCTTCACCAGCATCAGCATCCTTGTCACTGGATAAAGGAGGAGCTGATCTGGGTGGTGGAGTAAGTTGGCACAGTACCGAGCGAGCTAGAGTAAGGTCGGTACCAAGGAGTGGGGATTACAATCCTAAAAATACCAGAAGATCTTTGGGGTGGAAAAATTGCTGCGGTACTGAGAGCATCAGTACCGAGGAGGGGGCTGTCGGCAGTACCAATGTCTTTACCACAGTGTTGGTGCCAAGGGTCGTGCACTATGAGTAAGGCTACGATTTAGTCACGGGTATTTTTAGTAAAAGTCATGGACAGGTCACGAGCAATACACAAAAATTCACAGCCTGTGACCTGTCTGTGACTTTTACCAAAAATACCTGTGACTAAATCTTAAGCGGGTCACTGCTAGAGGCATTGGGACCGCTGCTGGGGGAGGGGTGTCTGAAGGGGCCGCTGCTAGGGGAGAAGCTGGGGGGCTGCTGCTGGGGGGGCATGCTGGGGAGTGCTGCTGGGGGGCTGTTGCTCCAGTGGGGGCAGGGCCAGCCGTGGCATCAGCTGCTGGGGGCCACCGGCAGCAACTGCACCGGCCGCCCAGGCACCACTATCAGGGGCTGCCCGGGGAAGTAGCTACTCTGGCCACTCCAGCCACCAGGGACCATGTCTGGCAGCAGCTGCATTGGCCACCCTGGGAAGCAGCTACTCCGCCCGCCCAGGGACTGCTGCCAGGGGCTGCTGGAAGCAGCTGTGCCAGCCACCCGGGGACCACTGCTCAGGTGGTCCATAGGATCGGCCACACTGGCCAGGGCTAGCTGCCCAGGGCCACCAGAGCAGTGGCCGATGCTGCAGCGGCTGGTGCAACTGGCTGCGGGTCTGCCAGAGCGGCTGGCTGCAGAGTCGCTCCAGTAGCAGCTGGGGTGGCTGTCCTCGGGGCCACCTGACCAGCTCGTCCTGGAGCCAACTGCTTGGGCAGTGCTGGGGTCAGCCACACAGGGCCCTGTAGAAGTCACGGAATCCGTGACTTCCATTACAGACTCGCAGCCTTAATCATTATTCATAGATTATACAAATGT